GGAATTACTGCAGAAAACCAGAGTAATGATTTTCTAGTTATTGACATTGTGGACGATGATGGTGCCCAATAAGGCTATAAATTAGTGTTCCACCAAGACGGATCTTCCACACATTATGCACGACGTATTAGGAAGTTTCGAGAGAGATTCCGAAGCATTGGACGAAAGGGTCCTATTGATTGTTCAAATAAGTCTCCGGACTTGACTCCGCTAGATTTTATTCTTGTGGGATCACTTGAAAAATATGTTCTACTGAACAGAACCGAAGAACTGCTACGACTAATTGTTGACGAGTGTTTTCGCCAATTCCCAGATACTCCAAAATATTAGCACGTCGGTTTGATGAAGCCTTGTGATACTTGTATAAACCCTGGTAGTGAATAATTTGAGCATCTTATTAATAAAGGAAATTTTGCTAATGTTTCGCTATTGGTTTTCTTAATTTGCAATTTAAACCAAACATTTCACTTGCGTTATCTTATAACATTTTTGTAACTTTATTTTGTCAAATTTTTTGGAAAATTGCTGCTTCAAAGTTACTCAATTTGGGTATCATTATAACAATGATAAAAAACCTATCTCATAAAAACCTCGACCATATTTTTCATTTAACATTTTCGAGGTTTAACTGTCTCCGCCCAGGTTGGTTATGTGAAAGGAGCCACTATACGTTTATAATGTGTTCCCACATAAATTTATAAATACGTCAGGCCACTTCTGTTTCAGTAGCCACCCTGTATTTACACGCACTACCTCTATTTACTATATAAATTAATTAAAATTTTGTAACACTTTCTTAGGGAATAAGTTGGAAAAAATACCAAAGAAAAAGACCAATAATTAAGGAAACTGTTTCATCGGAGACCCAGAATTCGCAAAACAATTGATGAAAAAAAAATCATTTTGATCCCAAATTCGGTACGCAAATTAACTGAAGTCATATACTGCGTCTGGACAAGAGAGAAAATACTTGAAGACAGCTAGCTGATATTTCTTCACCTTCACATTCTTCCCCGTGTTGTAGCTTAGGGGAGTATTCTCGAAATAGTAGGTATATATAAGACATCCGTCTCAAGTTGGCCAAATATTAACCGCTATGGATATTCATCTCTAGTGGTTAATATTCGCCCAACTTGAGACAGTTAAGAGTATTATTCCAATAAGTAGATAATCTGACTTTCCCTCATGCATCTGCATTTAACAACTTACAGTTATCCCAATTTAGCGCTAAAGCCCTTGATAATTCTCAAGAAGGTGGCGCTTACCACAAATTGGCTTGCGGCAAAGATTATTGGTAAACTTTTTCGCCCAATGTTGCTATAGATAATTTCAGGTTTTTCAATTGACTAAGACGTGTTTTGAAGAATTTCTGCTGAAATTCTTTTTTAGGAATGAGGAACAATATTATTATGTATTATTGATTTATACTATTTATATTATTATATGCCTTGAAGAGCCGTCAAAATTTAGATGTTTCTAAACAATTATTAATCGGGTCAATTTGTACTTTCGTAAATGCACTTTCAATTTATGTAGCAACTTCACATCTACTAATTCGTTCTCAAGTCACGCTATGAAGTTGATTATCAGTTGTTCATCGAAAATTATGTAGGCTATCTTAACTTTTGATTAATTTTTTAATTGCATTTAATGTTATTGAAGAACTACATTTGGTCAAAGATTAAGCGAACGTAGAAGCCCCATTAGATAGTATGTATACTTTAGAGGGGACTCCACTAGTGAATAAGTGAGTATTTTCATCTCATCTGCTTTCAGCATTTGCTTCATCTGCCTTCCAATAAGAGTGAAATATTTAAAATTATCTCATTTTGCTCTTGTAATTATTACCAGATAGAGTAGGCAAATAAAAAAAAAATATGTATGGAGATTTTTCTGCGATTTTCCCGGTATCTAGGAACGAGGCAACTTTATGTAGAACTGGTCGTTCTTGCTGAAAATATTGTCGCTGGAAATTCGACGCTCCTTCTAAGCATTAAATAGCCGATTTTAATTTGCATCATTTTTTTTCAAAAATTGTCGCCCTGCTTAGGGTATGTGAACTGACAACTTTGGTTTGACGGGGTATTAAAATTTACCCAAGCCAGAACTGAAAACGAATCGGCGCACTTTACTGTGAAGAATTTACTCCAATTTAATTGGTATTGCCGGCACACAAAGTCGCCATTGTTTGATGATTGGAACTCGTTTGCACTGAATCAAAGAGCCCTGCAGCGCTATTCCTCTACCAATGGCCACAAGGCCAACTGTTACACCTGCTTAATTTATTTAATACTTAATATTGCATACAGCACACATACTTCTTTTGTACATGGCTTCGCGGAACTGTATCAAACGCGACAGGATAACACACGGTATGGCTGCTTTTCCTGGTAAGACGCATTATTTGGCTTCCTTTCTCTCGTTTAGCTTATCTCGCTCTTTTTCATTTGTTCAAAAAAGCTCCGGTTTTTTTCGAGAAAAATGTGAGTTTGTAGGTCAATTTGGAAGCACTGATAGACAAAATCAGAGAACTACCTACCCTTTCAAATGAGACTAGACTAGAAACTTAAAACATTTTGTTTGAAATTAAGTAAACATTTGTTTGTAAAAAAACAACAAAGACAAAAATTTAGAACTCGATTTGTTGAGCCTTTTTCTTACTGTTTGGAAACAAAAAGAGGATTTACGGTTACGAAAAATACGATTACCACCACGACCTCAAATTACAAAAAAATAGTTAATTTAATTTAAAACAGTACGACACGTCCCAAAGAGGCACTTGTGGCTATTTCTTGAAACTGGGGAGTTCTTCGGGTTTATAGGCAGTAGTAGATGATATTTTCGTTTAAAATCTACTTGTATTTCCAAAACGTCATAAAGCAATTATAATCCAATGCCACCTAAAAACCCGAAAAACTCACCAGCTGCTGATGATGCAATGGCCCAAAACAAGTAGAAACTTGCTTTATAATTATTAGAAAGGAAGCAAAACAAGTGGTAGGGTACAATGTTACTATAGTTGGGTTACTTACCAGCCTATTTGGGAATAAAGGTTATAGGTATACTTATGTGTACCCCAATTTTACTCATCTGTGTATATTTAGCACATTTTTCACCTTTTGAACACACATTCTCTTCTAATGCCACCAGCCAATTATTGACCTTTTTGAAACAGTGAAAACATACCACGACCATAAATATTTTTTACTTAAAAAATTCATCTTGTATAGTGTTTACAGTTTGCTTCTGATGAATTTGATTCAGTTATATAAGCTTTATTCATCACACTGCTTTTATTGGTGATATTGATCGCTTCGATTGCTATGCGCACCATAAGACCCGTTTGATAGTGACCGTTGGGTATTACCATAATAGATGGAATGCAGAAACGTTTACAATTCTGAAATTGGCCTCTTGCGAAAGCTCTCACTATGCTATGACGATTGGCTACAACCTCACGAGAATTTCAGACTGCATGTCGTCATTAACATAATAGGAAAATGTGTTTTGGAATGGCCGTTGCTTGCACTTATTGTTCAGTTTTTATTTTGCTATATTCTTCTTCTTGAAGTGCCTTCTCTCTTAATCATAACTGCAATTCCTATCTTTGAAACCGCAGTTCTAAACAACTGGATCTATTTGCATTTATATCATACTCTTAGGTTTCTCAGTCAAGATATGCCTGCATAATAAGCTGCAGCAGTTGATATTTGTCCCCTCTAATGACGTGGCCCAAGTACTCCAGTTTTCGTCATTTGATGGTGATGGTTAGTACCAATTGCGCGTCCTTATCCATTCTCTGCATGACTTCAACGTTCGTCACTTTGTCCATCCATTTCAAAAGCATCTATTTTCTTCGTATTGGCCCTGTTAATGGTCCACGTATCCATCCTATAATGGAGCACAAAGAAAACATAGCATCTAACCAGTCGCATCTTCATCTTCAGGTTGATGTCGTGACTGTTGAGAATGCTCTTCACGTTGATGAAAACGGCTCGTGCTCTTTCAACTCGTATTCTGATTTTCTGAGCGAAGTCATTGTTGTTATTGATGCTGATTCCTAGGTAGTCATACTTGTGTACTCGCTCTATGGGGCTACGATGTATGTATATGCCACCGCTCATCCTTCGTTCTTTTGAGATAATCATAAATTGAGTTTTCTTAACACTGAGTGTCAGACCCTTTTCCCCACTTGCTGTAAATACGTTGGTTAAAATTTGTTAAATGTCTTCTAGTCTTTCTGCGATTAGAGCGTCGTATCGTCGGCATACCTATTATTATTTATAGGCCTTCCGGTTATTGTTACACCTATCTCTTCTTTATTTAGCGCTTTTTTCATAATCTATTCCGAGAAAATGTTAAATAGCAATGGCGACATGGCCGCCAAAACTTGCCTAACTCCCCTTTTAATTTGGATTTCGTCGGTTATATCAGTTTTAGCTCGAACCACTGCTCTCTGGCCATAGTAAAGATTCTTTATTATTCTTATCTCGTCTCGGTTATCAAGCTGTTTTTCCAGTAATATCTCGACAAGTTGGTCGTGTCTAACTTTATCGTATTGTACCGTGGATGGCCGAGTATTAAACTCTTTCTTCAGCTTCCAACTTTTATTCCACTCGGTACAACTTTAACTTCTGAACAGGAACAAACTAACTTCAAAATTACCGTCAACTTCACAAACGATAACAATAACACACGGAAAACACGCTCTTCCGACTCGCGGGGATCAACCTCTTCTGCACCCGGTCGCTCCTGTCACTTCACTTCCCCCGTCTGGTTCTCGTCGTAGCTTATATAGTTTTCTCCAGGTATTCCAGATAGTTCTAGAAATCTCCAGAACAGGTGCGAAACTTCCCGCTTGTCAGTGTCATATTTGACAGTAA